GAGACTGTTTGGTATTATGAACTAAATTAGTAAAGTTATGATGTGTGTGCATAGAAGGAAATGTAACATTGAAGTCGTATGACCATATAATTACATTGTAATCTATATTATTTTAGTATTATGGTGTAGTAATTTTGAACTTCTCGGCTGATTTTATCATAATTACGTATCAAAATTATTTTACCAATAAATATATTTTAGTATAAAATATATATTATAATTTTCATAATTGGTTTTGTGGGTCAAATGGGAGAATGTTAATTTCAACAATTAAGTGGATGACTCACTAATCTAATATTTTATTTTTCCATCCATCTATAAGAGTTAAAGCCAACTTAAATGACACATAAAATAATAAATAAGCGTTACAAAGAAAAAGGTACATTGATGGAATAAATTATATAATTATTATATTTTATAGGTATTAAACTACAATAATAGAAATAGTTTTCAACATATTCAATTACCTTGAATGTACTTTGGCATCTCCTCTTATCTATAAAATGAGCACAAATTACTCTTTCAAAGTATCTTTCATCAACCGAAAATTACAAAGTTCTTGTGCATAATAGTTAGATAGAGATAAGAAGTGAGTCAGATAATTAAATTTTTTTTCAAATGGTCTCTCAATCACCTTATGGATGCATCATCTTAGAATGATATGTAGTTCTAATTTTTTATTATTTTTTTTCCTTAAGATGTGTTGAATTCAATAATAAATGACTTCCGCATAAAAGTTTTTTACAATATAAGCATAAATATTGTACTCAACCCATTATCTAACATTTTCTATAATATTCATGTGTAATTTTTTCTAGTCATTATCAGATTTTTTATTTGATTTATTTTTTCAGAATCAAACAAATCTTTACCTATAAATTATTTTTTACCATCAATTTTCAAATCTAATGATATACCCTAAAATTTAATGATTAATCATGTCAGGTTATCCAGTACTTAACACAATTAATAGTTATAACTTGATTGTTATACCCCTTGTTATGTTTTGGATAATATTAATTGTGTAAACTTAATTAACTAATCCATTAAAAAAATTAATTACATTGTAGGAAATAAATAAATGCAGACCGCAATACAAGAACATAGATTTTACATTGAAAACCTTAAGTGTATAAGGAAAAATTTATAAGTCAAACTCTAAATTAAATTCATTATCAAAAAATTAATGAATATAAATAATTATAAGGTAATCACAAACTTGTATTCTATAATAAAAAAGAATATCAAATTATCTCCATAATCAATACTTTACAAACCTCCATATTTGTATGTAAATACTAGAGAAATTATTTTTAAATATTCTTAAACAATAAATATCCGCTAATTAATAACAATGCATATAAAAAATTTAATAAAAAATAAAAGAATCCATACATTTTTGTTAAATTTTCACGCCCCAAAAATAATTTTTTTGTTCTTTTTTTTTTTTTGTCCAAATGCCACAATCCTCCTTTTCTTTTTTCTTTATTATGTGTTTTCAATAAGGTCATTTCATCAGCCACAAGGTCTCTTTTTATAGTAATTTTCTCTTTTTCTACTTGGTGTA